GCAAGTTGAGGAGCCTTGGGCTGGGAGGCTGGGGACCAGGAAATATGGAGTGGGGGACTCGGGGGCCTTGGGATGGGGAACAAGGGACTGGGAGCCACAGGGCGGTGGGCTGGTGACAAGGGGCTGGGAGGGCTGCGGGGCCATGGGATGAGGACCAGGTGCCAGGGGCCACTGGGCCACAGAGCTGAGGCCCCCCAGTGCCACCCCCCAGCCCCATGGCACGCGGAGCAAGGAAGCCGCAGCCTCACTGCTTCCTGCTGCAGCCGTTGCTGGGTTTCCTGCAGGTCCCTGAGCTCTGGCCGCCCCAGCACCCCCAGTTCCCCTAGACCCCAGTACTCTAGGGCCAGGCTTCGGCTCCTCCAGCACCAGGAGCTGGGGCAGCACATGGTCCCTCTACTGCTTGTAGGCAGGATGGCTGTGGGGCATTGCCGTGGTTGGGGGGGGGAATCCATGGCTGTGGGCACAGCCTCACCACGGGGCACATCCTGTCTGTGGGGCACAGCCTGGGATACGGGCACAGCCTGGCCGTGGGGCATTGCCATGGTCATGGGCCACAGCTTTACCATGGACCACAATGTTGTCCGGTGAGTCCTGGCCCTGCAGGCAGGGTCCCTGCTGCCGCTCGTGGCACTGCTCAGATCCACGGGGCACAGGGCACGTCCCGACCCCCAGTCCTGTCCCCTGCAGATGGTGAAGGCCAGGCTGTAGCGTGCCCGGGGGTGAGGATGCTGGCGGGGCGGTGGCGGCTGGAGGGGCGGCGGTGGCGGCGTGCCGAGCCAGCCGTGGTGCTCCACGCTCTCTACAACTACGCGTACCGTGCCGAGGACGGGCGGCAGGTGGCCATGGCCGCTGGCGAGCAGTTATTGCTGCTCCACAAAGCCAACGAGGACTGGTGGCAGGTGAGACGGGCCGGTGAGCCCCGCTGGGCTCGGCCCTTCTTTGTCCCTGCTACCTACGTGGCCGAGCTGGACCCTGGTGACACTGGGAGACGGAACACGCTGCCCCCCAGCCAGCCTGTGGGCACGGGTGAGCAGGGAGCAGAGAGCCATGGGGCTGGGGGGCACTGGGAGAACGGAGCCGTGGGGCGCTGTGGTGGAGGCAAGTGTCTGGGATTTAGGACGAGGGGACACTGGGCGGACAGGGCTGGGGGACATGCCCCGGCAGTGGGTCTGGGTGCACAAGGCTGGGGGAAGATCAGGGCTGGGGGCACAGGATAAGGGAGCACTGTGGGGGGGGAAGGTCTGGGAGACACCTGTGAGGGATGACAGGGGCCAAAGCATTGGGAATGTGGGAGATGGGAGGGGTGCTGGGGGAAGCTGGGGACATGGGGCAGAGGGACAGTGGGCAAAAAAGGGTTGGGGCCCAAGGATGGGGGTCATCTGCAACCTGGAGCACCATTTGGGGTGGGTGGGTATACTCATCTCTCCCCCCAGGCCTGTCACCGCAGTACTGCTCACTGGAGGACCTGTGCAGCCCCTCTCCGCCCCCCCCCCAGG